CCCACACTGGAGCAGATCTCCACACTGCAGCCTGTGCAGGACCCCATGGTGGAGCAGGTGGATGCTCAAAGGAGGCTCTGACCCCATGGGAAGCCCGCACTGGAGCAGGCCCCTGGCAGGACCTGTGGACCCATGGAGAGAGGAGCCCAGGCTGGAGCAGGTTGGCAGGCCGGGCTTGTGACCCCATGAGGGACCCAGCCTGGAGCAGTCCGTGCCTGAAGGGTTGCACCCTGTGGGAGGGACCCATGCGGGAGCAGGGGAAGAGTGTGAGGAGTCCTTCCCCTGAGGAGGAAGGAGCAGCAGAGATAACATGTGAGGAACTGATTATAACCCCCATTCCTCATCCCCCTGTGCCACTGCACGGGAGGAGGCAGAGAAAATCAGGAGTAAAGTTAAGCCAGGGAAGAAGGGAGGGGTGGGGGGAAGGTGTTTTAAGGTTTATTTTTTATATCTCATTATCCTAGTCTGATTTGATTGTAATAAATTAAATAAATTTTCCTCAAGTCAAACCTGTTTTGCCAATGACAGTAATTGCTAAGTCATCTCCCTGTCCTTATCTCGACCCACGAGCCTTTCGTGATATTTTCTCCCCTGTCCAGCTGAGGAGGGGAGTGATAGAGCGGCTTTGTTGGGTGCCTGGCATTCTTCAGTCCACAAGAAGCTAGGCAAACTCTCTGACTACAGATACTTCAGTCAAGCTGCTCCTTAGCCACTCCAAAGTACAGAGGAAAAGAGGATGAGATCTGATCACCTCCTCCCAAATAGAGTATTTAGCACCCATTCATGTCTACTCAGACTGAGAACTAGGCTTATTCTTTGTCCGTTACCCCTTTGCTACCCATTAACAAGCGACTATTTAATAGTAAAGAGTTAAAGCCTTCACTTTTATTTCAAAGTATAACTACTTTCTCACGCAGCTTAAGTTATTAAAACGTGTTTGATCCTGGACTTTGTGTAAATGAACTTACCTCACCACCCCCTGCCTTCACAGGAAGCAAAAGCAAAGAGAAATAAAAATAAAATAAAAAATCAGTATCTATGAAAGTAGACTTACTAAAACATTTACCAATCTTACACAATATTAACTTCAGCAGAACAGAAGTTAAAATGCACTCAGTAAGCATATTCTGGTTTTATTCTTCACAAAGACTTTTCTTTGTGGAGTTTTAGGGGCCCAAACTTTTAAACAATGCAGGCAATGGAATTCTGTCGTGAACTTTTATGCATTCTGAATCAGAAACTAGTTACCTTATTACAGAATTAATTTTCTTTACAATTTTATTTGAAACTGAAAAATGCAACTCACTCAGCTTCCAGAAACAATTATTGTAAACCTCTTATATTTCTTTCAATTTCATTAAAATAAAAAATAAAATATTTAATCACAGCTTTCATTAAGAAAAGTGAATATAAATACAAAATATTCATACCACGCACATTATTTCTTTTTGATTTCCACATCAAATACATCTAATTAATAAACAAAAAGACCATTTCTCATTTTAAATCCAAGACAGGAAGCCACAGCTTTATATGCAGGCATCCATTCTCTCCTTCAGCAACGCTATTTAAAAACAAAAGATGACACCAAAATTCCCACAAATGTCAGGTTGCATTTCTCAACAAGGGCATCACAGATCTGTGAGCTTCACTGTGGAAAGAGGCATATGCATCGAAACAGAACTCCTCACATTCCTGCAAGAAGTTTCCAATCTGCTATTTCTCTATATCCTGACACCTAATTATACTGTGCTGTGTTTTCCTCACTTCCTTAATACTAGCGTTCCTCAATTGTCACTGTATCGTGTTAGGAAACCCTCTTTCCTTTTCCCCTTACACACACTACCCACATCTATTTTGCTGATGACAAACAACAGCTTTCAGAGTCCTGTGCTTCAGTTGCAGATTCTACAACAGATTATGTTCTAGTGGCTATAAATTCTTTTTCTTATTTCACATCCACTTTACCTGCCGGTCTTACTCTATACTGCTCCCCACCTCCTTGTCTTCTAAAGTATATAATAGTGAAGCAAGCAATACAACTAACACTGCAAAGCAATCAACTTCATTTTCCAAGACTCATTAATAGAAACTGCAGAACCACTGTGGACACAATTTTTCAAAGAAAGCTAGAAGTTATCTGGAGATAGAAACAATGCAAGGAGCAATTACAGTTGAATTAGATTAGTTTGTTGGCAAAAACAAAAAAATTGAGAGCTGTCTTTCAATAAAACAATTGTACAGGCTCATGCCTATAATGCCATCACTAGACACCACTCAGTATTTAAGTTTCAAAAAGAATGTATTATCAAACATCAGCAAATAAACTCCCCAAACATAACAATAGACATATATCATTTGTAGTCTTTTGTGTTCTCTGAAAAAGTGATACAGCCTAGTCCTTAGGCAAGACTTTTCTTAAGTTGTTGGGTTTTTTTCTCTCCAAAGAAATCTTTCTACTATTTTCATACATATCCTTTTAAGTCGTATATATATTCAAATATAATTATGTTTTACTATTAATCATCTTTTCAGACTGCTTTCTTGGCTAGAATTGTAAATTAGCAATTACCTTTCATCTAAGGTTGGCTCCTTTTGTTGCAGATGAGGCTTAATTCCAAACATTGGTCTAATGTTTGTTGATAAGGCTTTGATGGTGTAATTAATTTCATTTTCCCTTGTCACATCACTGTCATAACCTAACAAAATCAGAGTGAACAGTATCAAAACAAAATAAGATACTAGAAAAAAAATATTAAATCATAATTTCTGCACATTTCAACAGTGTACTGGACTACAAGAATAATTATACTATGTATTATTAGTAACATAAATACATAATAGAAAGAAAGTAGCTGGGAATCAAGAATATTTTAATAAAAGACACTCTAATAAAAAAATTCTCTACAATATCTTTGTGGAAAAACTTATTAACAAGGATTCAAGCGACATTCAAAGCTACCCCATTTCTGCTTAGTTGCCCTTAACTCAGGGTCACTACCAAAAGACCTCGCTACATGACACCTGCTGCTAAGTTCTGGAAGATTTAGCACCAGATTGCTCTCAATTTCAGGAGCCATCCATTAGGATGGAATCTATAAGTCTGCACAGGGTTCCCACACAATGCTTAGGGACAGTCAGGCACATCAAGATGATGTTTACTATAGTAAACACAGCAAAAAAGCTAAATAGTGATAGGGTTGTTGCCCTCCCTTTTTTTTTCCCCCTCAAAGATTGAGACTACTAATCCCAACTTTATGAATAGTTCTTAACTGAAATAAACAGGACCTGATGAAGAAAAACTTTTGTGGAAAAAGATGTCAGTATCTTTTCTTGTAAAGCTTAACAGACCCCTCTTTCTTTTACAGTGTTTTTGAACACACAGCTTAAGAGGGTTCTGTGTAAAGCACCAGAGACTAGGGAAGGTTACTAGCCAACAATGTGCCAACAGGCCATAGGCAGAAGCTGAACAAAAACTCTAAAGATTGCAATTTTTGATTCAGAAAGCTTAAGTTGACCAAGTGCCCTTGTAGGCAATTAAATTACTTTGCAGATGCAGTCTCCAATGTTTTTAAGCAGAAAGACAGTGTATAAAAATTCTTCTCCAATGAATGTTTAATATACCTCTAATATTTAAAGTGTCTCTTTGGTAATTTACCAGATTTTAGTGAAAACTGAAGTTAATTTATTACACAGAATTATTTAAAGAGTAGCAGTGATAGATTAAAAATGCTTGAAGACTGAGGAATTGACAAGGAGGAAAAATTGCACTTGAGAGCAGAGAGAAGTTTGGAGGCTCATGAACCCCTGGAATTATAACATGAAAACGAAAACATTAAGTATGGCAAAACCAACAGAAGTTAATTCTACGAAATGTAACTACTGATATTATGACCTTGCAATAGATTGTTCCATATATGAACATCAGTCTACCTCAGTCTACTATGCTTTCATGTTGTGGAAACAGATGCTATAGTATCAAGATAACTATGATCTCACATTATACAGATTTCAACATAATTCCATTAGAATTAGTACCCAAATCTTAACTGTGATGAGAATATCCTTCTATATAAATTTTTGGAAGTTACCTATAATTGGCACTTAATATTTTTTCATTTAAAAGATGTCAAGAGTCTTTCTATATACTCTGATCCAAAGCAGTAAGTAAAACACTTCATTATCATCTTATTCACAACAGTTTATCAGTCCTTTCCCCAAAAAGAAATTTTACTTAACATTTTTGAAGCATCTTCACTACTTAAGCTTAAAACAATCAGAAAAATTTGATTATTTCTAAATCAGCAGTTTTCCATTAATAAAGTCTTCTTGAGATAGCATAGTCCAGCTAGTTTTATGAATTATTACTGACCTCCATCTTCTTCAGAATCTAGATCAGACTCTTCACTATCACACTGCCTGCTATCCCGATGTCCTTCCATCTCGTAAGTCCACAGCATTAAAGAGGTGTCTGCTCCTCCAACAGTGACCAACAAACTGTCATCATAGGTCCAACGGACATTTGTTACATGGGTACTGTGAGCAACATACCTCTTAAATTTTCCAAACTTTAAAAAAAAAAGAAAAGGTACAGATCAAATTTAACCAGTCTGCTAGGTAAAACTGAAATGACTTGCCAGTGCACAATAACATGTTCTTTACAGTTTATGCTTCAGCAGTTTTGCATTTGTGTGTATCACATGATTTGCCAAGTTCCTCTCTATAGCAACTTCATGAAATGTTAAGCATATTTCCATGCCAAGCATGCAAGAATTTGTTTATGAACAGATTCCAGCAATAAACACCAGATCATTTTTCCTAAGAGAGACAATAATCTAACAGATTAAGAATAAAACGTACATAGAACATTTTGAGTCAATACTTGTGTATTGTTACCATCCCTAGCACGGCAAAATATTAAAAATTGAAGACATATTTACTGATAAATATACAGCAAAACTAGAAAGGTTTTAGAAGAGCAGTAAAAATATAATGTGCTTCTGGAATGGTTTTTCTATGATGCATGATTAAATAATATCAAAGCTCTTCATCTTAGAGAAAAATGACTGAGGTTGGACAGAATGAAGGTCTATAAAATCATGGCTGAAATGAAGGTGAGGAAGAAATGTCCATTGTCTTCCAAAACAAGTGTTCAAGGGGCTAAAAATGACACTGATCAAAAATCATGAGGCTATTAATGCCTAAAATATTATTAGACAGTGCCTGTCCCATTCCCATTCTTACAGTTTCTCCTGCGTACCTGCCACTATCAGTGACAGGACATGAGTTGGCACTTTGGTCTGACCTTACTAACTGAAAGTTTAAAGCATTGCAAATTGCAGTGTAATACTGAATGCCTTCTTTGATCATAAGGACAGAAGTATAAAAGCACTATTTTGTTCTGAGTGATGAATTTTTACAGTTTCGAAAAGGCAGTTTTATTAATGAATCTTCTCCATGAACAGCTGAAAATTACTTACTTTAGCAGGGTATCGGAACAGTTTCACAAATCCAAAATCATCTCCTGTGGCTAATACTTTACTATCACTAGTGAGGCATGAAGCAGTTACATCTGTGACTTCACCAATTATTGGCCAGATTCCTTCACAGCAAGAGCCCAAAACACTTGTCCATGATGCCCAGCCAATCTTTTCTACCTACAAAAACAACCTGTTTGAGACAGAGCATGTTTCTTCCCCAGCAGTTTTCTTCCACAACTGATTTCAAGAAAAAGTCCCTGCACTGAAAGATACGTCACATCTAAAAGATAATATTTTAACATATTAACCACTTATTTTCTCACTATTCAGTATTTCATTAGAGACCCTTAAATTTTACTTCTATCAGCTTCCAGTTCCAACACCTCTAGAAGTATTTAAAAAAATACTTACCTGCCCTTCCAGGCTAGAGAAAACAAATTACATTTTTCAACACTGACTTTCAATCTCATAGAAAGTATTATTTGAAAATGATCCATTTTCACTCTCTGCCCTATGACAATGTTCTATGTCTGAGAAAACAAATCAATATTATAGCTACAATATACTACACTTACCTATGTATATTATGTATACTATATTGCATTATTATGTAGAGAGAGACATGAAGTCTTCCACAGCAAGGTTAGGGCTAAGTAATCTGCAACAGGTTTTCAAAGGTGTTTAGGTACCAAAAGAGGCATAAAGAAGTCCATCGAGATTTTCATGAGCACATAAGCCAACCAAACGTCCATTTCTTAACAGAAGAGATAAATGTCATATCCCCTATGTGTTTTATCATTCTGATAACATTATCTAATTGAACAGGCTGCAAGAAAGGATGAAGGACAGCAACTGCCTAAACAGAAGTTTTTTCAACAGGGCTGTTAAAATTACAGTTCTATACATCATTCCCTCTTATGTGGTATACATGGTTGTATGATAACTCTAATTTGCAAACAAGTTAAGGCAGCAATCTATTTCCTCACCTCCAAACTAGGAATTGTCTGTTTTTTCCCACGAGGAGCTTCAAAAAACAACTGCTCTTTAGCACCAGTGTTGACTTGCAAGAGCTTCCCTATAAAACATATTACGTATTTAATGTTAGTATACAATATAAGATTCCATTTTACAGAAAAAAAAGTTATTTTGAATTTTTTGTTGTTAACAGCATTACACAAATTATTTGTTTCCATCGGAAAACTCTGCATACATAAACAGTGGATCCGGAAGTATGGGCTTCTGAAGATCTGAGTCCTTTGACCCCTTAAATTCACAGTCCTTCCTCCCCTCTTTGAAAACTGTAATAACACACCACTTCTCTCTCCTATTTATGGTTGTCCCATCAGATGGTAGACAAAATGTACTGGGTCTAATTCAAAGCTTGTTTGTGACAACTGGCTGACCAGTATGCATGTGCTTGTGGGATTGAAAAGCACATATGCTGCCTGGACAATGACCGCTCTTAAGCAGCTGACTTCCGCTTGCTTTTATACTACTTCTTTTCTGAGGGAAATTCTCATTAATGTTTCTGTTCTCTTCCCATTTTGAAAATTCTCAGAGTAAGCTAATTTAAAAAAAAAACAAATTAAATAGGACTGTTTCAAAAGTGATTACGTAGACAAGTAAGAGCAGGAACTAACAGATTGCACTATTGCACTGCCTTGTTTTTGTATGAAACAGGACTAAAGTTAGTATTTAAATTAATCACATATTAAGACCCAGGAAGACAGGAAATCCAGTCTTTCTGCTATTTTTGACAACAAGGATACATATTCCTGAGTTACAGATGCAACTGCATTATGCAGTACATTATTCAAGAAGTAGAAGTCAAATAATAAATACAAAAGATATAAAAAAAAATCCAAAACAATCTATAGAGACAATCTATTCTACTTCAAATTGCACAACTTCTAAATATATAAATAGTAGTAAAGATCATGTTTTTATGTTTATTCAGATTCTGTGAGCATATTCATAAATTGAAGAAACAAATCTGTCAGTGAGACCATAAATTCATGCTGTAGATGTACTGCATTTACCCTGTAATGTAATCAATCTTCCAGGAGATTTTTTCAATTAATACTACATACCTCTTATGTCCCAGTCCATGTGGGTGATATAGCTGGAGGCCCCCTTGCAGATTCCTACTCGCTTACTACTCATTACATTGTAAATATCCACAAAGTTGTCACAGGATGCCACAGCTAAGTACTTTCCAGCTCCTAAAACACATCAGTAGGAACACAAGACATTTTCAAAAATTGTAGTGCTCTGTATATCAAACATAAGTACATTTTGGAATTTAGCTATATGCAACTCAGATGAAACTTTGAAATGAGCTTGCTAATTTATACATAGTCCCCAACAGACTAATGTTCATATCCCAAAATCAAAATCAGTATGAAATATACAACCACCACAATGTCCTACACCTAAGTCTGGGCAATCCCAAGCACAAATACAGGCTGGGCAGAGAATGGATTGAGAGCAGCCCTGAGGAGAAGGACTTGGGGGTGCTGGTTGATGAGAAGCTCAACATGAACCAGCAATGTGCGCTGGCGGCCCACAAAGCCAACTGTACCATGGGCTGCATCAAAAGAAGCATGACCAGCAAGTTGAAGGAGGCAATTCTGCCCCTCTACTCTGCTCTCATGAGACCCCACCTGCAGTACTGCCTTCAGCTCTGGGGACCCCAACACAAGGAGGACATGGACCTGTTGGAGCAAGTCCAGAGGAGGACCACAAAGATGCTCAGAGGGCTGGAGCACCTCTCCTATGAGGAAAGGCTGAGAGAGCTGGGGTTGTTCAGCCTGGAAAAAAGAAGGCTCCAGGGAGACCTTCTAAAAGGAGCCTACAAGAAAGCTGGGGAGGGACATTTTACAAGGGCATGTAGTGACAGAACGAGGGGCAACGGCCTTAAACTGGAAGAAGGAAGATTTAGATTAGATGTTAGGAAGAAATTCTCCACCATGAGGGTAGTGAGGCACTGGAACAGCTTGCCCAGAGAAGCTGTGGATGCCCCATCCCTGGAAGTGTTCAAGGCCAGGCTGGATGGGGCTTTGAGCAACTCGGTCTAGTGGAAGGGGACTCTGCCCAGGGCAGGGGGGGCTGGAAATAGATGATCTTTAAGGTCCTTTCCAACGAAACTATGCTATGATTCTATGATACATCACTACATGTTCAAACAATAAAAACTATTTGATCAAATTTTAAACATTTATTGCACTCAGAAAGTGGTATGGCTTAGATAACCAGAAAGTAATGTTGCATGAGAATTGGTATCAGTAATTTGCATCAAATTTCTCCTACAGAATAGTACTTTCACTGTAGTAGTATTATTAGGTTTTGGTCATACATTTGAGTTCCTAAATAAGAGGTGTACTGTTTGAAAAAAAAAAACAAACTGACATCACTGGGAGTTCTAAGCAATGTAGGGAGAAAAAGAAGAAAAAAGAAGATGCCACAACTTTCTGACACATCAGTTTCAAGCATTCTCATCAGCTAACAGTAACCTCAGTGAGGAGTCAAACTTGGGCAGCTCATAAAGGGACCTAGGGAAGCTGCTGGATGTTCAAGATTTAAAATTCACTGCTGTATTCAGGTCACTATGAGCAAACTTATTCCAACAATCTCATCCATAAACAAGCAACATAGGACTTCATACCCAATATTTTTCAAAATGTTAATATTAACTTTGCTGACTTATTTGTTACATGTAAAAGAGTACTACAAATCTCTACTTCTTTTATCTTTCAAAGGTTATAGAGCTTGCTTGAATCACCTTGATATAAAAACCTTCATTTTAAACCACTTACCAGGAGAAAATCGGATCTCTGAAATAACATCTTTCCTGTGCTGGAAAGAGACTAGATCCTCCAGGGTATCTGCATTAACTATCAAAAAACTTCCATCATTGAGACCAACGGCTAACGCTTTTCCATCAGGAGAAAAGCAGCAACATCTCCCTCCTATGAGGAATACAAAAATGGCATTCAGGTACATTTACAGTGCATAAACTCTCTTTTAGATTTATTTTTCCAGTAGTGAATGAAAGCTATTCTTATAGTATATAGTCTAATGAAATTTTTAAGATGCTATCAAGATAATTTCCAAGCTCTACATCTGTGATAGCACACAGAAACTATTGGCAAATCGACAAGTACACAACTCCAGAATCTTAGATTACATTTATTTGCATATTCATTGACATATGTTCTACATTAGTAATAGAGATTAATCACTATTGTCTATATATTTTTAATTTGCTCTCCTTCTTAGGATCTGGTGCCAGTTGTTTGCTACCATTTGCTCTGGTAAGGAGAACGCAGCTGGAAAAGACCTTCGGGATTCACAGGATCCAGTCATTTGCTATCACGGTCACTATGTCATATAATCCAGTATCCAGTCATTTGCTATCATGGTCACTATGTCATATAATCCTTTTAATAAACATGTCAAGTTTCATTTGAAAAGCAGTTTAATTTCCAATTGAAATGTATTTATTGTCAGCTTAGACAGATTTGTTTCCATGCCAGAATTTTGCATTAGTGTAAGTATTTTTCCTTACTATTTGTTCCTCTGATTAACTTGTAGACAGTAATCTTTATTTAGCTGACTCCACCACAAAGCTTCTCAGTCATTATCCTGTAGCTCCTCTTTCCCAATACTCAACTTTCAGTTCAATTTCATTCAGCTGAACACAGATGAGAAGTGTACACCAAAAATATTCTGATTCGTCTCTTGTAAATTATATGGATACTTCAACATGTCTTGGGAAAAATATTTAACTATCACATGTAATTGTCATCCTGCAGTCAGCTAGAACATTGTGAGCCTTCTACTCCTCAGTTACTCCTCAGCTACACAGACATTTTTCTTACAGTCATCGAGTCTTGCCTTTTTTAATCACCAAATATTATCTCATTTACTTTACTGCACTCTGCAGAAGTATCCAGCTCTTTCTAAACAGTACACAGGTGCTTTTTAAGATCACCAAAGCATCTCAAAATGTGTCTCATCATCAAATTAAGTCATCACAGTCCTTGTTTTTCTGCCAAAATTACTTTTAAAAATATTAAGAAATATCAGCTTTAAGACTTGAGCAGTCTTTCCCAGCTTGAAACTTCCTTGTTTAATCCCTGCTTGTGCCAGCTATTGACTCTTCTTACATTTACTTTATCAATCCAAATCATCTTCAACTAAGCTTCCTATAATGTTTGGATCAGAATGCTTTACTGAATGCCAAACGGATAAAACCTACTGTATTCCTTTGTCTAGCAAAGCATATATATAATTAAAAGCATCTTAAGGCCAGTCTGGTCTAATCCTAAAAAATGTCTCCTTATATGGTGTTACTTACAACAGATTTCCCATCTGTCAAAATGTAATTTAGTTAAAGAGTATACAAGTAAGAATTTTATGACTGTTCTCTTTCCTTGACATTCCAGATTCTTCTAATGTTCACCGAGAAAAGAAATTCAACATTACTTCTAAGATTTCTTCCAAAACTTTCTAAATTTGAAGTCGTCCACTGTTCAAAAAAGCTCACAATACTATAAGAAACGTGGCAGATTTATGTAATTGGCTTGACTTTTATTATAAATTCACTGACTTAAATATGTTACAATTGCAAATAAGAAAAGTATTACATAGAAATCTCTGCTACAGATCCATTAGCTTAAGGGCTACATAACTCATGAACATAGCATTGATAAAATAATTTGAGCAAAGAAAGGAATTTATTCAGGCTTGCTTTTAAAAGATTCATAATGCTAGTAAATGCCAATGGAATCCAGTCAAATATTTTTTCATACTAAGCATCTTACCTTTCTTCAATTTGCGAACAGCTAACATACAGTGGCTAGGAGATAAATCCCATATTCTTAAGGTTTTGTCATCACTTACAGTGGCACAGATAGGTAAATGAGGATGAGTAGCCAGACCCCAAACTTCCCCCTCCATGTGACCCTGAAAAAAACACAACGAATCAGATGACTTTGTATTTTAAACTGAAATACGAAATAATACATTTAAGGAAGTTAAAAAAAGAGAGAGAATATGCTTATCTTTAGAGTATAAAAAATACCTGAATAGAAATACAGAATACCTCAAAAAAAGTCACCCTGCTACTTAGAGTAAAAGAACAAATTACAGTAATTAGTACTGGAGAAAACTTTTCCCTGAGAAATAATCCTCACACACATCTATGTCAATAACAGAGACAGTGGGATTGAGTGCATCCTCAGCAAGTTTGCAGAAGACACCAAGCTGTGTGGTGTGGTTGACATGCTGGAGGGAAGAGATGCCATCCAGAATGACCTTAACAGGCTTGAGAGGTAGGCCCGTGCGAACCTCATGAGTTTCAACAAGGCCAAATGCAAGGTCTTGCACATAGGTTGTGGCAACCCCCAGTATCAATACAGGCTGGCGGATGAAGGGATTGAGAGTAGCCTGCTGAGAAGGACAGGCAGGTACTGGTGGATGAAAACTGGATGTGAGCTGGCAATGTGCACTTGCAGCCC